AATAAATAAATAAAATCTTTAAAAAAAAATTTAATCTAATGCCTCGTGAGCTTCAGAGGTCAGAATCAAGTTTACTGGTCCCAAGAGTGAATGGCTCTCCGTTCTGCTGTCTCCCCTTTCCACATGTCACATACGCTTCCTTTACTCTGAGTACGGGGAAGGGTGCCATAAAAATCTGAGAGCCACTGGTTTAATGGAATCTTACAGAGAGGCATTACACCCGCTTTCTCTATTAAGTTCAGATTCCCAGGAAAACACACTATAGAGGTCATGCCAGAATTGGCATTTTACAAAGACTAGGTAGATGAAAGTGTCAGGACCAAGTGAAAAGTGGAGAATTTTTCTCTGCTTGGATTAAGAAATGAAATTTTAAAATTCTAAGCCCGCAAAAAATATGCACAGGAACACAAAAAAACATTAGAATGTGTGTGCTCTCCTCCCTTCTGTAACTCATCGGAGTAAAGTGTTTTCTGTCCTAAGGCGTGCCTCCTCTAAGAGCTCCTGGTTAGCGCAAATCCACGTCACGTAACACAGGCAGGCTGGACAGCTCGTTCATTCCAGAGATTACTCACATTTAACTTCTATACATGTAAATCCAACGCCATTATAGACTTGAGATTTCTCCAACGTGGGGAAAGTCTGAAATAGTCAAGTGGCTGGACAATCCAAAAGAGACTCTTCTAACACACCATGGAGAACAAAGGTCACGCTGGCCTCCTTTTACTTTAACAAAGGTCAAGCTGTAGATGGAGTTTATTTTAGCTCATCTAACAATGTTCTGCATGTTTCCTCTAGTCCTTTGATGCAAACTAAATTTAAAAACACCAAGACGTTCCCTATTTAAAAAATAAAGAAATTAAGAATTTCTTAGCTTTTTTTCTTAATTTACTAACTTCTTCAGGAGTTTTTTTTATACTCATCAAATGAGACTTTGAATACTAACATTAGTATCTAACCACAACATCCTATTAAGGTTTTGTGGTAGATCAAATATAGATAAAAATACTTTGATAGCCCTCCCACTGAAAGGTGGATCTAACTCCCCAGCCGGTGGATCTCGGCCAGCTTTCTGAGACTTGCCTGACCCACAGAATGTGAGCAAAGGCACATTTGGGATTGCTGAGGGCAGGTCACCAGAAGCCCTGCAGCCTGGGCCTCCCGAGCCACCGTGTACTAGTGCACTTGCCCCGAGGATGCCACACGAGAGAGACCACACTGACAGAGGACAGAGAGAGAGGGCTCCAGGCCCAGCTGCATCTCCAGAAACCCCGCGGCTGACAGAAGCTGCCCTTGCTCTTAGTTACCGGTCTAAACCCCCGGCCCACGGAACTCTGCGAGATAATAATAAAACGGTGCTGGTTTAAGCCACTAGGTCTGGGGATAACTTGTTATAGCTGTAGGTTTTAAATTCTCTTCTTTCAATCACCAGGGTCCCAACTAAAGCATGTTATTATTTAAGCAAGATTCATAGAAAGCCTTGCTTTGAATGTGAGAAAATGATTAGTTATTAGAACCATTTACTGAGATGTCAAATTCCATCCATTTTGGTGGAAGGAGAGGGAAGGTGTCAGGGAGAACTGAAGAGGTCCCTGCTGCCTCTTTGAGAGGATGTGGTAGCACAGGCAGGCGTCTGCCTCATTTCTGCTAATGAAACAGCATGCCCCAACCCAAGGTAATGCCTGGCATCGCCTTCTAGCAACTGAAAAAGGGCAAATGACGTGCAAGAAGAAACGGGCCGGGTGAGCAGCGCACGAGAGCCCCGCGGCCGACACCTGCCGTGCCAACAGGTCAGAGGAGGGACACCTGGAGTCGGCGGCCTGAGCATCGTGCACGTTCCGGCTGGGATCGGGGCTCACCTCCCTTGTAGCTTCTTCTTCCGTTTCGCTAGAAGGTATGAGATGAGTGTGGCAGAACTGACCATCTTAAAGCAGGGGTTTAAAGCACCCTAGCCACATGTGGGGGGGGCCCACAGTTCACTGAACCTGTGTGTCCTCTCTACCACCACAGCCCCCAGACCAGCCGTGGCCACTGTGACCACGGCTCTAACAAGGTCTCCTCAACATGACACGGGTGCAAGAAGCGGTGGCCTATGCAGAGCAGGGCTGGACTGCAGCTGGCTGGGTGGAACGGGGGGCGGGGGAGGGAACATCATCATAACTTTCTATGTGTTCTGGGGAGCTCTATGAATTTATTACAAATTTTAAAAACCATTCAGGGTGCCTGGGTGGCTCAGTCGGTTAAGCGTCTGCCTTCGGCTCAGGTCATGATCCCAGCGTCCTGGGATCAAGTCCCGCATCGGGCTCCCTGCTCAGCAGGGAGTCTGCTTCTCCCTCTGACCCTCCCCCCTCTCATGTGCTCTCTCTCTCTCTCTCAAATAAATA